GGGTCCCCCGCATCTCCCATCCTGGTCCCAGTGCACAGAGAGGCGCTGGGGACGGGCGCATGCCCCACCGCCGGCCCCGCCACCCCACAGAGGAGCAGCCGGCGCCTCCTAATTAATCCAGCCCTGCGTTATTAGAACCAAGACGAGCCCTTTGCAAATCAGATTAGTGGTGCTCTGAGCCAGGCTTTGGGGATCTCTGGTGTTTAATGGTGAGGCTCTGGAGGAGCAACCCTGCGGGGATGCTCGTGGCTATGGCCCGGAAAAGTGCTGGAGAGGGTCTGTGTGGGGGGTCATTTTGGGGACCCCCCCCTTTCCTGCATGTGGGAGGCTGCGGGGAGCTGGGATGGGCTGCGGTTGCCCCCACATGCCTGGTGGTGCAGGCTGCAGAGATGCTGCTGGTGCTGCTGGGCGCTGCTGGGGCTGCGGTGGGGAGGACGGGGCGGTGGGGAGGACGGGGCGATGCGGGACGCGGGGCAGCAGCGGGGAGCCACCCTGCAGCTGGGGGGGCCAGAGCCACGCCACGCCTGTGCCAGCCCCCACCTCTACAGGGACGCAGCACCAGCAGAGCCGCGTGTGTGCCCCCGCTGCCGGCTCCTGCCCTGTCTTGGCACAGGGACAACGCATCGAGGACACGGTCCTCTTGTTCACCGCTCCCCCAAATCCCCCCGGCGCACCCCATCTCCGCCAGCCCCAAGCCCACAGACTCCTTCCACCAACAACTCCTTTTTCCACTTCCACGGAAAAAATGCCTCCTGCCCTCGCGCCCAGCCCCGCTCTGCCCGCCGGCACCTGGAGGGCCAGGCACGTGGGCAGCGGGACAGGCCTGCGCTTGGCCCGTCCGTCCGTCCGTCCGTCCTGCGGCAGCCCTGCTCTGGGCACTGACGTCAGCGCTCCCGGCAGCCGGGCGGTGGGCGGGCAGCACCGCTCCTATTGTATTAAAAATAATACAGCAGAGCACAAATTCATTACAGATAAGTGTGACAGCCAGGAGGAATTAACGAGCCCGTCTCTCAGCGCCTGACAAACGCCTCCTTTTGTTCCTGGGATGGGTCCTTGAGTCTTTCAATCTTTGGAGATGCCTTGGCTCATTACGCGCATCCTCCCCCAGTAGCTCCCAGCGTGCCTGGGGACTGCTCCCAGTATGAGCTGTGGCCAAGCTGGCAGGGCCATCCCTTGTGCCAGCGCCCAGCGCTAAGCCGGGCTTGCCCTCCTTGGGGCTTGGTGGCCTGGAGCGTGGTCCCCAAGCGTGGGATCCCACGCGGGGTGGCCGGGGGGAGGTGGGCAAAGCAGCCCCCGTCCCTGCTGCTGCGGGAAGCACGAGGCTGACGTGAGCTGTGGCCAGCTGCCCCGGCACTCCTGCTGCCGGTGCCGGCAGCGCAACCGCAGCTGACGGACTGGTGGGTGCCCAGCTCTGCCCTGCTGGCCGGGATCCTGTGGGAAGGGCAGCGGGGGCTCGTCACCAGCGCTGGGCATCGCCTCCGTCCTCCTGCCCCGCACACCCCTGCGGACACCCCTGCTCCCGGGACGGGACCCGCGCAGCCCCAGAGCCAAGCTGGCTCTGGCAGGTGTTTGGAGGATGTTCCCGGTGCTGGGAGATTGCTTGTGCCTGGCACGGGCACTCCTTAGGCACAGCGGTCCCCTGGCATTGTCCTGGGCAGTGTCACCTGCCGGGTGGCTCCCTGGAGCTGCCGGGGGAGGCAGGAAGGGAAGGGACGGGGAGGGATGGGAGGGATGGGGGGTAGCGCGGTGGCCAGATGGAGGAGGAAGCTCTCAGCGCTGCCAAGTCCTGCGAGTCGCCTCCATGCT